GCCGGTCTTCCTCAGCAAAAAGAGGAGGATTGGCATGGATGTTAGCTCAGGGCTGATCTTCCTCACAAAAAGAAAAGGGAAAAGGGAAAAAAAAAAAATCAGATGGAAAGCTCAAACTGCATGATTTGAAGAGAGTTATTAAAATGGCCGTTTACAGAGGGGCAGGCAAGAGTAAGGGAAACCAACAAGGGCTAATGCAGTACTCCAAGGACAGGCAGTTATGACTCCTAGGCCCGAAGGGGCAAAGGGAAGGATTGGAAAGATTAACTGTACAGAGAGGGCTCTGCAGGCAACCCTTGGTGACCTAGCTTGGGGAATAAGGACTATGACCTCACTGTCTTCTGGCCTCTGATCTCCTACAGATACTTCCCACTGCCTGAACCCATCAAGATACCAGGGAGGGCAAGGGAATCTATTGGTACAATGTAGACAGGTTAGCCCTCCTTGGCACAAGAGCAGGAAAAAGGTGGAGAGCAGATATGGAAGGGCAAACAGAAGATGGGTGAAGTTGTTTCCAAGAGGCAGTCATGTGGAAGCAGTAGTTATTAATGTGTGTTTAAAAGAGGGTCAACAAATAGCCAACTCCCTTCACTGACTATTAGTAGCACTGTACTACAGTGAAGATCCCAAACACCTACTATTGAGTTCTTCAGAGACCTTTTGAGGACATATTTACCCTCCAGTTCTCTCCCTTCAAGCACTCTCCCTCCAGTTCTTCTCTCCCTATTTCCAAGAAAGTCCTCCTGTGTCTCAATTAAGCACCTTTATAATTTTTCACTTAAAAAGAAAAACAGCAACAAACAAAATCACCAACCATGGTTAGATAGCTTATTTGAATCTAACTTCAGAGAGCCATTCCACATAACCTTTTCCTCAAGTGAATCAGTCTTGAATCAACAAGTATTTAAATAGATGGTAAAATAGAATGTTCTCGCTGAGTCATATCGAGGGTGAATTTGTTGATAAGCTTTTGTAAAAGAGAGTCAAGCATTACCTGGCAGGACTCCAAAAGGCTGATTATAACAGCAAGAGCAGATAGTTGGTAGTTAAAAACACAAAGCTTCACCAATAACGGAGCTAGTAAAGATGGAGCCTCTCTGGGAACACAGGTGGAAGTATAATCCCTATTTAACTGGAAACAGGTTCAGGCAGTTGCTTAGGGTCAGGTAAATTGGAAATTAGTGATATGGAAAATAAAAAAGGCCTTATTGTTTATAGCTGTTCTAATGTATGAAAAGTTTATTAGCCTCAGGAAAATAAAGAATTTATGCCTAGTACTACTAAAGTAAAGCCTTTGTGTGGATCATGAAAAGCTGTTCTGAAAGAAATGGGCGTGACTCAGCACTTGATTGTCCTGATGCATAACCTGTTTCATGGACAAGAAGCCACTGTCAGGACAGAATATGAAGAGACAGAATGGTTTCCTACAGGCAAAGGTGTCAGATAAGGGTGAATTTTATCTCATCTGTTTAATCTGTGTACAGAACATATCATACGAAAAATTAGCCTAGACTCAGATGGAGTGAAAATTGGTGGCAGAAATATCAACCACCTAAGATATACAGATGATACCATCTCACTGGCAGAAAGCAGGAATGACTTGAAAGGACTTCTGATGAAAGTAAAAGAAGAAAGTGCCAACGCAGGACTGCATTTGAACATCAGAAGACAAAAATCACTACTACTGAAGAACTTACACAACTTTAATAATGAAGTGTCACTTTAAAAAAAAAACCAGCAACAAACAGAATCACCAACCATGGTTAGGTAGCTTATATGGATCTTAACTTCGGAGAGCCATTCCACATAACCTTTTTCTCAACTGAATCAGTCTTTAATCCACAAGTATTTAAACAGATGGTAAAATAGAATGTTCTCCCTGAGTCATACCGAGTGTGAATTTGTTGATATGGTTTTGTAGACAATCTGTGCACTTTGTAGACAAAGTGTAGACAAGGAAGATACTGAAATTGTTTAAAGATTTTGTTTACTTTAGTTCACTCATCAATTTAAATGGAGACTATAGCCAAGAAATCAAGAGAAAACTGAGACTTGGAGGGGCAGCAATGAAGGAACTAGGAAAGATCCAGCTTAAGGCAGTATCATTAGAGCCTGAGGCCAAGATTATTCACACTCTCCCATTCCCAATTATTATGCACGAGTGTGAAAGCTAGACGGTGAAGAAGGCTGACAGGAAAAAAAATGATGCATTTGACTGAAATATGGTGTTGCAGAGCTCTCCAAGGATACCTGGGACTGCCAGAAAGATGAACAAGTGGGTCCTGGAGCAAATTAAGCCTGAACTATCGCTGGGAAAAACGATAAAACTGAGGTTGTCTCAATTTGGGCACATCATGAGAAGTCAGGATTCTTGGGAAAAGACAAACATGCTAAGAAAAGTAGAAGGCAGCAGGAAAAGAGGAAGACCAAACATGAGAGGGATTGACTCCATAACGGAAGCCATAGGCAGGAGTCTATAGAAGCTGAGTAAGGCGGTTGAGGACAGGACACTGTGGATATCACTCATTCATAGGGTTGCCAGGAACAGGAGCCGACTTCACAAAACAACAACAAACAACTTTTGAGTAAACAGAAAAATATTAATCTCGAGTTTAATATAATTTAGGTGAGACTCATGGGAGGGGAGTCCTGAACAAATTTTCTGCTTAGTTTGGCAGCCCTAAAGGATGCCACGAGGGACCCCTTACCAAATCCATACAAATGGCGGATACAGATATTTAGGATGAGAGATCCCTCCCCCAAAAATATTTTCACCAGTCTGAACGCATTTTGAGCAACCATGCACCGGAACAAGAACATTATTAACTCATTAACACACGCACATGGAACCAACATTATCATTCATTGAATTTGAGTGCCAAGTAGAAAGCTGTTATCAAATTTTTAAAACCAAAACATTTGCACTTTTTAACATATATCCATTCCAGGAAAAAATATTTGGAACACGGTTAATTTGTAAGCAAGTGTTACCTCTACAAATTAAAAGAACAGGTAATAATTTTTAAAAAGCTGGCGAAATATTAACTATTTGTTTTACTCAAGAGCACTTTAAAACTATTTCAGTTCGTGGGTGGGAACAGAGCCGGGGCAGTGCACTAAACCAACTGGGCAAAGGCTTCATAAAGTTACCTACAGATTACACAGTTCTCACTTTGGACGTGACTCAAAGATTACAGGTGACCGCGGTGCCCCCAAAGCGCCAGGTGGAAACTTTTTCACCGGGCGAGGCGGCCCGGTCCAGGACCCCGGCCCCTTCGGGAAACGCCCAGTGTCGGCTGCAGAGCCTACCCCACCTCGCCTCGGGTCAACTCCGCTTCAGGGCCGGGGGCAAAGCGACCGCCCCTTCGCCGGCGCCACGTGCGTGGCCTGCCCCGCCCCTCGCCGCCGCGAGTCACAGAGGCCGGGGGCGCGCCCCGGGCATCGTCCTGTTCGCCCTCCCTCCCCGTCGGCTGGCCCCTGGGGCGGGGCTGGCCCTTCGGCAGGGCGGCATCGGGCGGGCTCGTCAGTCAACCACCGCGGGCGGCGGCCTGGCGAGGGCAGGAGCCGGTGAGTAGCCACGTCACGCTCCTCCGGGAGGCCCCGCCCCGGCTCCTCGGGCCGCCCCCTCCACGCCCCCGCCTCCGCCCCCGCGAGCAGTTACCGGCTCTGGGGGCGCGCGCCTCCCTGGCTGTGCTAGAGGTGCTCCGGTCCCGGCCCGCTGCGTCTCCGCCGCTGCCCGCGCCAGGTGAGGGCTCGCGGCTCCCGGCTGCGGCGCCCGGCGC